GCCCCCTCCCCCTTCCTCCTCCCCCTCCTCCCTCCTCCCTCCCCTCCCTCCCCCCTCCCCTCCCTCCCTCCCCCCCCTCCCCTCCCTCCCTCCCCTCCCCCCCTCCCCCCCTCCCTCCCTCCCTCCCTCCCTCCCTCCCTCCCCCCCCCTCCCTCCCTCCTCTCCCTCCCCTCTCCTCCCTCCTCTCCCTCCCTCCTCTCCCTCCCCTCCCCCTCCCTCCCCTCTCCTCCTCTCCCCTCCCTCCCCTCTCCCCCTCTCCCCTCCCCTCCCTCCATTTTCCCACCCCTCCCTCCTCTCCCTTCCCTCCCTCCCTCCCTTCCCTCCCCCCCCCTTCCCTCCCTCCCCTCCCCTCCCTCCCCCTCCCCCCCCCCTCCCCCTCTCCCCCCTCCCCTCCCTCCCCCTCCCTCCCTCTCCTCCCTCCCTCCCTCCTTCTCCTCCCTCCCTCCTCCCTCGTTGTTATATACTTCCACGTATCCAAAACATTGCTGGGACCTATAAATACTTTGTATATATTCCAAGACAATAGTAAATGGCCAAGGCAGGTGTAAATGTTCATCTGTCAGTGTGTTTGTGACAATTTGAGTACAATTTCAGTACCTAATACTAGTATGGAAAATTTTCTAGGGTGCTTACCTGTATGTACCTCAACATTATATACATACCAGTAATCTCATTGGGAGACAATCATATTGTTTACCGTAGTCACCCCGTGTAGACATGTGAGAAAACTTAACCACCCCTGGTCGCACCAAGTGGTCCCCTCGACCTCACAATCTTATCCATATCTATCCGAGACCAGTATGGATTGGGTAGCACCCACAAGTACGGTGCTACTAATTAATTGTGGACTGTATAGATTATATAGTTTAGCTGAATGAAGGGAGGGGGGTAGGATCACCTGGATACATCCGTCAAGGAAAACATTTGTACATAATCCCACTACTTACCAGATGTTCTCTGGTGGTCACTTGATGTAGCGGGATCACTCAAACCTATTTTAATTATAACATACCACCACTGGCCAGTCTAAGGTTGCTATAACTAGAAGGGTTACTTAACTTGGGTGATTGATATTCCTCATTTCTTGATTCACCATCTCATTTTCGATGTCCTGCAACACCGACACGATTCTCATTCCAGCAGGACGGGGTTTACCGCTGGTTGTCCTGCTTTAGACGCGTGACTCAAGGAGTTTCCCTTTCCTCGCTCGTTAATCAACGAAGTCTAGCGTGTTCACTCGGACAAACGACTTATTTCACTTCACATATTCTCTTAACTTAGCGTATTATCCTTAATTACATTACAATTCACAAGACGATTAATGACTCAAATTATTATACACATTAGAGATCACTCCTTAAGATCTGAGACCGATGAGTGATGATAAACCAAGGGTAATTTTCCCGGGCTCAGTCCAGGACGACGCGTCAGTCACCCCCGTCCTACCCGTAATCACCTTTACCACTCTATTATCGTGGTCCCGTAAATCACCGTTCCCTCACTCTCCACTAGGAACAGTCACGACACTTCCTATTACGAATGAGGCCTATATTAATCCTTGGCCGCCGTGAATGCCAATTTCGTGGTACCATGCCTTTTCCGCTTCCTCTCCACCTTCAAAACAAACCCGCCACTCCCCCCCGCACATCCGCGCATGCGCAAAGGGAGCTCTTGGTTCTACTCTTATTTTCAAATACATTTTTGACCCATATAGACACATTAAACACCTATTAGGCACTATAGTTTCGGAAAATTAAAAAATTTTCCACAACTAGTGTCAGAACAAAGAATAGGTATGAAATGACAAGAACTACTATAAATTGTAATTCTCTCTTTCTTTCAACACACCGGCCGTATCCCACCGAGGCGGGGTGGCCCAAAAGGAAAGACGAAAATTTCTCCTTTTACATTTAGTAATATATACAGGAGAAGGGGTTACTAGCCCCTTGCTCCCGGCATTTTAGTCGCCTCTTACAACACGCATGGCATACAGAGGAGGAATTCTGTTCCACTTCCCCATGGAGATAAGAGGAAATAAACAAGAACAAGAAAGAAAATAGCAGAAAACCCAGAGGGGTGTGTGTATATATATATATGCTTGGACATATATGTGTAGTGTGACCTAAGTGTAAGTACAAGTAGCAAGACGTACCTGAAATCTTGCATGCTCAAGAGACAGAAAAAAGGACACCAGCAATCCTACCATCATGTAAAACAATTACAGGCTTTTGTTTTACACTCACTTGGCAGGACGGTAGTACCTCCCTGGGTGGTTGCTGTGTACCAACCTACTACCCACAATAAATTGTAATTATCAGAACATAAAAATTACATAAAATAATATGAAAAATAGAAAAAAGGTATATCGGCAACACTTCTGCAAGTGGCAGGACTTGATGTTGCTGTCAAGTGAGCATCCAGTTCCAACTTCTCGGCCTCATATCTCGGTAAGTACTGACCCTATTTTTTTTTTATTCTAAAACACTTAAAAAAAATGTGCTCTTTTATTCTATAATTTTTTTTTTTTTCAAAATATCCGGGGCTTTGGGCAAGAGAACGTTTGAACCATTTAAGGGTTAAGTCAGTTTGTAGTACCCTTCTTCCCTTTCTCACTTCTTCACCCAACTTGTCTTTCAATAATTTATAACTTAATAAATAATATAAATAAATAAATAAATCTAACAATTCTTCCTCCATAAGCCATGCATATCATATGAGGCGACTAAAATGCCAGAAGTGAGGGGCTAGTAACCCCTTCTCCAGCATAAATTACTAAATTTGAAAAGAGACTTTCATTTTTATTTTTAGGTCATCCTGCCTCAGTGAGATATGGCTGATTCATTGAAGAAAGGAAATGGTCATTTAAAGTTTCCTCTCCAAACTGTGGATTAGTTGTGAATTGTGAAAAAGATGCTAGGCAGGATAAAATTATGTCGACTTCATAAAAATACTACATTTTTCAGGCCCATCGGTTTCAGCCACAAGTAGAAGTGATGATAAGGAAGATATTGTTGCAATATTTGAAGAGGCGGCCAAGAAGCCACGTGTACCACCCCCTCCACTCTCAGGTCCTGAACTGGCTGCAATGATGAAGGTTTGATACAGATTATTATTATTTTTTTTTTTTAAACTTGCTGGCCATCCCCCACTGAGGTAGGGTGACCCCCCCCCCCCCCCCAAAAAAAAAAAAAAAAAACTTCACCATCATTCACACTATGGCTGTTTTTGCAGAGGCACACAGATACAACAGTTCAGATGTCACTCCAGACAGCAAATATCCCAAACTCTTCTTTTAAAGTGCAGGCATTGTACTTCCCACCTTCAAGATTCAAGTCTGACTAACTGGTTTCCCTGAATCCCTTCACAAAATGTTACCCTCCACACTCCAACAGCATGTCAAGTTCCAAAACCCATTCATCTCCATTCACTCCTATCTAACACGCTCTCAGTATTTTTTTGATATCAGCAGTGTTACAAGCCCATATATAAGTGTACATTTTATGCAAGAATCGCGAACAAGTGATACAAGATGCAAAACAACCACAGGGGGAGTTGAATAATAGCTCTAGGCCTTTTATGTTGCAATCAGCAAGTCATCAGGAGCTTGCAAAGTTGCAGAAATGAATAAGAAATCTCAGCAGATTCATTCCAAGGGACGCTTGCTAAGACCGAGGGTAGGAGGAGAGGCGGGAAGCATACAGTGCCCAGGCACACAAGTGCCAAGTGCCAAACATTTTCAGTATTATAAGAATAGAGGATAGTCAGCCCACCAGCAAAGGTATTGGAATGGTTAACTAACAAGTTAACATTGGTAACATAACGGTTATCAAAATTACGAATCAGACTTCAGGGTAATATAAAGGATTTAACATACTGAATATGGATGTCTCTGGCAATTGTCTGCCCGTTTTCCTTAAGAAAACGGGCAGGCTCACGTAAAGGGTAGACTAATGGTTGAGCCTCAAAAGGGGACACTAACTCTACGCCCTAATTTCTAGTAGTGGAACCCTGGCAGCTAAGACAATCCAGAGCATTCATATAAGAATCTGGTTTTAATCTGTGCACGATAGCCTCAATTATAAATGAATCGAGCTTGAACAACCCACTACTGCCATTATGTAATGAATGTTTATCATATTTAATAATTGCAGACTCAAGGATATTTCTTTCTAGCCATGAAGTGCATGGAACATTGACCTTTGCCTCAGACCACTTACCCGGATTATTATAGACTCATGTGCAGTTAACCCTTTGACTGTTTCAGGCCCCTTTCTGAAACTGTCATTCTATGTCGCTCAATTTTTGAAAAAAAAAAAAAATTTTTCTTATGAAATGATAGAGAATCTTTTCCCGATGGTAATGACACCAAAAGTTCGAAATTTGGTCGAAAACTCATGGAATTATGCTCACGCGAAGTTAGCGGTCTCGGCGACATATGCGTATCGGCGACATATGCGTATCGGCGATTTCGCCGACTTTGAGCCCTATTTTCAACCAATTCCATTGTTCCAGTTGACCAAACTCATATCTATTTTTTTAGAACTCCACTTTATCTATCAGCTGAGTACAAGAAACCTCCCATTTACTAATGTGGACTACCCAATATGGTGGTCAGAAATTGGCAATTTGGCCAATTTCACGCAAACTAAAAAAGATGCCAATTTCAAAATAGGGTCCAGAATAAACAAGGTAGACATTCGTGGCACTAAAATAACATATGCTCTGTTCATTAGTCACATCTCTAGGCCCCTCTTATATTATTATTATTGCTTTCTATTTTGATTTTTTATTCATACAAAAAAATACAAAATTTACTGTTATGCAGACTACTGCATTAATTGTAAAAATAGTATAAATAATATCAGTGCACTAGTGAAAGAATATTAGACTCCCCAGTTGACGTGTATTGGACGTGTGGTGTGATTTATTTACTCCTGAACATTGGTAAAAATCGAACATTTCCGCTACTTTGAGCTCAATTTCAAGGTCGTTTTCATCGTCAAAGTAATGAAAATCATCTCTATTTCTGTAATATGTTTTCCATTTTATCACCTAAGACCATGAAAACGCGAATACAACGATAAATACTATACGAAAATGCACCTCAAAATCGGCGTTTTATTCCAAAAAAACAATCAGTTTTTTTTTTCTCATTACGCAATGTGTGCTGCAGGATTTTTTTTATGTGGTGCACACTGACAACACAGACCCATTCTCTCACATGTGGGCCTACCAGCTTTTCTCCCGCTTGATTTGAAGCCGCTAGAATTATTGAGTATATATATGTCAGAAACATTGGCTCGTAAGACGTATTTATACGTCAAAAACAATCAAAGGGTTAAATATCGCATTTGATTGTTGAACAGTTCTTACAGAATACTGATGTGTAATTCCAACATTTAGAGATTTGCCAGTCTATCCCACATAAGACAGGCTGCAGCCTTGACACCTAATCCTCTACACACCACCTACACATTGTTTAGGGGAATTCTTGATTAACATAGTCTTAACAGGCTGTGAATTCTTAAAAACAACTTGTATATTAAGTCTCTTTAGGGCATTCGGTAGGACTGATAAATTCTCAGTGTATGGCAGGACAAGCACATAATTGTTATGAGGGGTTATTCTAGGTTCAGTCGTATGATAAGTTTTTCTAGCTGCCACTAAAGTTAGAAACTTCTTAGGGTAACATAGTTTTTTAGCAATATTGAAGATTTTAAATGACCATTTCTTCATCCAGAAATTCAGGGCGAGACACACTGTAAGCTCCTAGGAATTAGGGCTTGGAGTTGGCATCTCCTTTTGAGACTCAACCATTAGTCTACCCTTTAGGTGAGCTTTCCCGTTTTTCTTAAAGATGTGGAATTTCCCTCAGACAATTGCCAGACACATCCTTATTCAGAATCTTAAGTCCTTTATATTGCCCTGAATTCTGACTGATAATTTTGATAACCGTTATGTTACCATTGTTAATTTGCTAGTTAACCTCTCCAATACCTTTGCTTGTGGGCTGACTATCCTCTATTCTTATAATACTGAAACTGTCTGGCACTTAGCACTTGTGTGCCTGGGTACTGTATGCTTTCCGCCTCTCCTACTACCCTCAGTCTTAGTAAGCATCCCTTGGAACACATCTGCTGAGATTTCTTACTCATTTCTGCAATTTTGCAAGCTCCTGATGATGTGTTGATTGCAACACAAAAGGTCTATATCTATTATTCAATTCCCCCTATGGTTGTTTTGCGTAAGTTTACATTTTTTTTTCTTCAATAAGTCAGCCGTCTCCCACCAAGGCAGGGTGACCCAAAAACAAAGAAAATCCCCAAAAAGAAAATACTTTCATCATCATTCAACACTTTCACCTCACTCATACATAATCATTGTTTTTGCAGAGGTGCCCAGAATACAGCAGTTTAGATGCATATACGTATAAAGATATAGAACATTTGCCTCCAAACTGCCAATATCCCAAACCCCTCCTTTAAAGTGTAGACACTGTACTTCCCATTCCAGTACTCAAGTCCAGCTATATAAAAATAACTAGTGTCCCTGAATCCCTTCACTAAATATTACCCTGCTCACACTCAAACAGCTTGTCAGGTCCCAAATACCATTCATCTCCATTCACTCCTGTCTAACACGCTCAGGCACGCTTACTGGAAGTCCAAGCCCCTCACCCACAAAACCTCCTTTACCCCCTCCCTCCAACCTTTTCGAGGGCAACCCCTACCCCGCCTTCCTTCCCCTATAGATTTATATGCTCTCCATGTCATTCTGCTTTGATCCATTCTCTCTAAATGACCAAACCACCTCAGCATCCCCTCTTCTGCCTTCTGACTAATACTTTTATTAACTCCGCACCTTCTCCTAATTTCCAAACTCTGAATTCTCTGCATAATATTTACACCACACATTGCCCTTAGACAAGACATCTCCACCGCCTCCAACCACCTCCTTGCTGCAGCATTTACAGCCTAAGCTTCACATCCATATAAGAGTGTTGGTACGACTATACTTTCATACATTCCCTTCTTTGCCTCCATAGATAACGTTTTTTGTCTCTGCATATACCTCAACGCACCACTCACCTTGTTTCCTTCATCAGTTCTATGGTTACCCTCATCCTTCATAAATCCATCCACTGACACGTCAACTCCTAAATATCTGAAAACATTCACTTCTTCCATACTCCTTCTCTCCAATTTGATATCCAATTTTTCTTTATCTAAATCATTTGATACCCTCATCACCTTACTCTTTTCTATGTTCACTTTCTACCTTTAAACGGACTCCCAAACTCGTTCACTAATCTTTGCAACTTTTCTTTTGAATCTCCCATAAGCACAGTATCATCAGTAAAAAGTAGCTGTGTCAATTCCCATTTTGTATTTAATTCCCCAAATATAAAAATTATTTTTACAGTAGACCCCCGGTATACGATATTAATCTGTTCCTGAGAGCTCATCGTATGCCAAAATTATCGGAAGGCGAATTAATTTTCCCCATAACAAAATAATGGAAATAAAATTAATTCGTGCAAGACACCCAAAAGTACTATGAAAAAAAAAAATTTTACCACATGAAATATTAAGCTTAATGCACACAAACTGAAGATTACATGCACAGTTAGTAGTACTCTACTAACAATAGAATACATGACACTTACTTTTAATGAAGATCTGGTGATGATTGATGGGATGGGAGGAGGGAAGTGTGTCGAAGTTGTTAATGTTTAGAAGGGGAATCCCCTTCCATTAAGACTTGAGGTAGCAAGTCCTTTTCCGGGGTTACTTCCCTTCTTCTTTTAATGCCACTAGGACCAGCTTGAGAGTCACTGGACCTCTGTCGCACAACAAATCTGTCCATGGAGCTCTGTACCTCCCGTTCCTTTAAGATTTGTCTAAAATGGTCCACAACATTTTCATGGTAATAGTCACCAGCACGGCTTGCAATAGCTGTGTTAGGGTGATATTCATCCAAAAAGGTTTGCAGTTCAACCCCTTTGCCACATTTCCAATTTTTTTGAAGTGGGCCCCAAAATTTGGTTTCCCCACAACGGGATAACTTTTCAGGGTTACCCCCAAACCCCCTTAA